AGAGAGAGAGAGAGAGAGAGAGAGAGAGAGAGAGAGAGAGAGAGAGAGAGAGAGAGAGAGAGAGAGAATGGACTGGAAGTGCATCTTGAGCTGAGTGTAACAGCGTGGAAATACACCCTTATCTAAAAATAGACGGCTGCTCCCTCCCGCCTACAGCGAAGAAAAAAGACTGCCACCAACGGGCTTACCTCAGTTGGTACATCCATAAACTGTTTGAAAGCGGAAATGCAGACCTGAGTTCCAATCCAGCCAGATGGAATCTAGATGAAGTTAGAATTCCTGAATTTTACCGTTGGTAATTCCGGTTGGTAAATCAAATTCAGGACAATTCTAACTCCATCTGGGGGCCCGGCAGCTTCAAGATGATATCTCAAGGCTGTCGCCCTACAATAAAAAAGGAAAAGAGTGGTGAGGCGTTCACAGTCGGGACCGAGAGGGGTTGCAGTCTTATCTGCATTCTTCGTTCTAGCCTATGATCACGAAAAATATGTTCTGTGGGATGATAATTGGATTATCTGTGGGATGTGTACTTGCTTCGTCTGTTTAATAGGCTTTCTTCTTCTGTGAGGTTTGGTTTCCTCCGCCTTTTCTTTACCTCTTTGCCTTTTGGCTACGTGCAAGTGGGTCTTTATGACACACGGGGATGGGGGCAGCCAGCGCTCAACCTGTCATCCACGTGGCTGGCCTTGTACGTACGAGTTTATGAACGGGTGGAGCTTTCCTTACCTCTTCTTCTTCCCCTTTTTTCTTTTCTCTTCTTTTCTTCTGTTTTTCGCTTCTGCACTCTGATTCACAGTGTGACAAACAGAACTGCCGATGGTAAACCGTAGGCAGAGAGGGAGGGAGAAGGAGAAGAGGACAACAAACGAGGGAGGGGCTGTGACAAACTGCTTTGTCGGAGTTTCACCGACTGACTCATCAGCAGGCTGAACCCTCAACAGTTTGCAGAGTCTCCTAACTGATTACACTGTAAGTGTGATAATCCAGCTTAATATATATTGTTTAATATATTGTTTAATATATTGTTTAATATATTGTTTAATGCTTTTGTTAATGGTCGGTCAGTTAGATCCAATCATGGCACGGCAGATTTGAGAGCGACAAAAGAAAAATTAGGTAATATGAACGCAATTATTTAGATCAAGTAAATTCTGCATGAACTAAAACCATTATTGAAAAAAAAAAAAAAAAAAAACATTATTGAGTCCATGATCTAACTACTCCGTTATGTAATTACTTTTGGACGGAATTGCAGCCAGATACATCCAGGTATGGCCGTTAATGGGGTCAGATACATTTGAGATACTGCAAGAGTGAGTACGCCCTGAGTTAGGCTCGTTGGTACGGGAGCAAACTAAGGAAAGCCTAGAAGAAAACAGTAAAAAAAAAAAAAAAAAAAAAAAAAAAAATCCTGATTATCTGCCAGGTGGCGGCATGGGTTGTACAGATGGCGAAGGGTAAACACGACAGACACGTGGAGAGTTATAATGAATGTATCTGATCGTCATGTAATAACCCGCTCAAACATGCCAATGTCGTCGGCCAAGGGGGGCACACGCAGGCCACCCGCAGGCCACGAAACGGCCCTAAGGCCTTGCATCCGACCTTGGGGAACAGAACCCCTGAAATGTGGCTTCAGAGGCCCGGTGCCCGACAGTTGACGGAAGTCAACTGTAAGTCGGAATATAGAGGCTCACGAATCAAAGTCTTCACGTACCCAGCCCTGGCCATCGATCAGACACACACACTTGGTTGTATGCANGCTCACGAATCAAAGTCTTCACGTACCCAGCCCTGGCCATCGATCAGACACACACACTTGGTTGTATGCAGGTATCCAGGCAGCATTCGGTCCACAAGTGGAAATCTATAACCGTACGAGATCCAGGCCGACGGCTGTGAGTCAATCTGAGCCTCCGCAGGTGAGGGGACCAAAGGCTGGTCAACATAGTCAACATTAGTCAACATTATTTATTGACTCAGCCCCTGGGAGTCAACATTCAGTCTTGCCTTGCTGCTTGACGCTGGCACGGCGCTGGCTGGATGCTAGCAAGGTGCTGGCTCTACGCTGGCACTGTGATGATGATGCGAGACTACTGTTTTGGTGTGCTGGCTTCTCTCTGCTTCTGGCACCAGCTGTCTTCTTGTATGCTAACGTGGCACTTGCCATGCTGTCTCAGACATTGCTGACGTGGCGCATGCGCCACAGTCTTCATTGCTGTTTTGGATGCGACAAGGAGGGAGATCGGGATCTGTGGGATTGATTGAGTGAGAGAGGGGAGACTTACCTGTTGCTGCTGTCGACATTGCGCACGGTTGAGACATCTTCATGGAAGAACTGTGCCTACGTGGCACTATGCTGTGATCAGATCTCGTCAGGCCCGTTTCTGGGACGCTGTTTGCTGACGTGGGAGAACTGTGCCTATGTGGTACTATGCTGTGATCAGATCTCGTCAGGCCCGTTTCTAGGACACTATTTGCTGACGTGGAAGTGGGAAGACACACGAAGGAGGAGTGGGGAATGAGGGTGTTCTATCTAGCGGACACTAATGAATATATTCTCTATCCTCCTCCTCTCCTACTTCGTCCTAAGGTTACGAGACATAGTATTGCAGATTACATTTCACGATTATTGGAGACATTCATCAGTGTTGAGTTATCTTGTATTTCAACACTTGACGAGTTTCCTCCTGACTGGGTTCATTACAGCCATGACATGGGGGGAGTGAGAAAGCAACCAAAAAAAACAAACAAACCTAAAAAAAAAAACCTAGGCTACCAGCCGGGCCACCCGGGTCCCGGGTGGCCAGCCCGTGCAAGGACCAGGGAAGGTCCCAGGCAAAAGAAAAACAAAAAACAAAATCCAAAAAATCCGGAAAAAAAACTATGTTATGCAGAAAAATAAACTGAACAACTTTTGCCTCAGGGTCACATCGAAATTCTGCACCGAATTTAGAATAAAAAATAAAATTTTTATTTATTTATTTTTATTTTTATTTTTTAATTGCTTTTGGCCCGGCCGGGCAAGTGACCCCGGGGCACTCTGGTAGCCTAGAAAAAAAACACATTTGGTCGGACCTGGATTTGAACGGTTTTGAAATACAGACCCAAGCTCGAACTCAGGTCCCGACCAGATGAACAACTTTTTTTTTGTTTTTGTTTTTTTATTTTTTAAATAAGATGGGATTGCTTAGGGCCGGTCAGTTCAACGAGCGAAATATCAGGGCCGTCGCCGTTTTTCTATTGAAAACAACTAAAAATCCAAAAAAATGGTGTTGGTTGACGGCAGCTCCAGACCTTTGTGGACAAGGCAGTGCCTCCTCTTTTTTTTTTTTTTTTTTTTTTTTTGTTGGTTGCTTTTTTACTACCCTCATGTAAATGTGGCATTGTGAATATTGCTGTAAGTAATTAAATGATTCAATTCCCGGCTTTCCTCTCATGTTATACTATTATAAGATGGTAATTATTCTTATTTCTAATCTAAGATTAGTTTGATAAATAATTATTATGTTGTTGTTACTAATAAAGTAATTATTATTGATCATGTAATAACATTCGGAAACGGTTTTCACCATGATAAAGTTTACAGTAGCAGATGCATCACCCAGGGCTTGATCCCTAGACCTTCCCTTCACCCGTGTATAGTACCCGTGTGCCCGTGTGTGACCCACGACCTGCGTTCTGAAAGTCGTGTGTTTAATTGTTGTATGTAGGGCGGTCGTCGGGTCTTGAGTCGCAGGTCTGTAGTTTAGGAGTCATAGCAGTTGTCAAGGTCGTAGCTGCTACAGTATCGAGGGGTCAAGTCTACGGCCTTCTGAAAGATCCGGAAGTGACCTTTCGTGAGTATAGGAGTCAGCCCGCATCTGAGTCAGTGAAGGGCAGTCCTAGCACAATCAACAAAGGGCAGTCCTATGCATACCTAGCCTAGTCAGCGGTACCCAGTCCCCTTCACACTTTGTGTAGTCAGCGAGTACCATGTGAGACTGTGTGCACCCCGGGCCCGGTGAGAAGGGGCAGACCAGCGACGATCTGAAGCATAAGTAAAGAGGCAGCGTTCAGTCATTCATTCATTCTGTCTGTGAGTCGTGTGGCAGCGCTGTAGGAGCGTCATGTTTACGAAGGTCTGCAGGTGCCCGAAGAGGAAGTGGGCTAAGAGGAGGAAGAAGCAGCCATAGCCGCTTGTATGTTAGTAGTAGAGGTAGATGGCAACCATAGCTGCCCGATAGGAGTTAGTGTGTGTGTGAGTGTATTGTGTCTGTGTGTGCAAGACATCCAGGGAGATTCAGAGTTGTGTGAACAAGTTGCCGGGTTACAGTTGAACGGCCATAGCCGTACGAGACAAGTTTGAATTTGAACTGTGTTCCTGGCTACGCTATCTCTGAGCTTTGCGTGGGCGCAAGTCGCCAGCTTGATGGTCATCGGTTTGTTTTGCTGAGTGTTGAGGAAGATAAGTTTGATTGTATTGGTATCGCAGCTGGTTTCCGCTGTTCCGCCGTCGGGGTCGCCATCGGCCACGTCAGCGCCGCGATTGCAAGCCGCCGTCGTCGTCATCATCAGGGTTGTCGAGCCCCGGCCCCGGGGTCCCGGGGGCCGGGGGTCGGCACCCCTGGCCCCGGCAAAAAAAGTAAACAGGGGGGTGCGCAGCCGCAGCCTGCACCCCCTGGGCCAAACTGCAATATTGCAGTTTTGGCCCGACCTCGGCCCCCCCCCGGGGCTACACCCCAC